TCATGGAGGGCGTCCATCTTGGAAGCTGTCTCCAGCTGCCTCACCTCATGTTGGGTATGAACCTCTTCACTCTGTCCCCCTGTGATGTAGAGCTCAGTGTAGATCCTGTTGAGGAGGGTTCTACTTCCTGTTTCATCACTTCCTGTTTCATCACTTCCTTCAGTCACACGTTCACATCTCCTCCTCAGACTGACCTTATGTTCATCTAAAACCTCCTGCAGACCAACATCTGCTGAAAGAAAGAAAAACAGAAAGAAAACTCTTCAATGTCTGAACAACAGAAGAAGTCCAGTTTTCAGAAATGAGATATTCACGCTTCACATTTGGTAAACATCCTCATGAATTCCCTCTGTCTTTTGCTGTTTTGCTTCCGCCACATTAAAAACTTCCTGCACAGGTAGGTGTGTCTGTCTCTTTCTCTCTGTACTTCAAGAACAGTTTCCCATCTCAAATCTCTGTTTGATTATTTGTTCGCTTATTATACACAAATCATGTACAGTGCTGCCGGCTGCTTCAGTTTTCTTAAGTTTATCTGCTATAAAAATCCAGGCCAGGAAAATCTCCTTCATGTTTTTCTGTGTTTTATCCTCAGTTACTTTGACACAAAGGCATCTGCTGTGATGCTCACACCTCTGATGAAGTCTCAGCGTCGGTACTGATAAATGATCAGAATTATAATATTTCTGATTGTCTAAGGCAGAATCGAAAACTGCTGAATTTCAGTCTCTAGATGTGCAAAGCTGGTAAAGACATACCCTAAAAGACTGGCAGCTGTAATTGCAGCAAAAGGTACACATGTAAAACAGTGGAGTTAATCAATGCGGTTGAAAAATTTGGGTGCGCCTAACTTTTATGCTGGTGCACTTAAGTAAAAAGGTGGACCAGTGCAACCGGTTAGTCACCGTGGCAACAAGTTAGTCTAGAGCCTTGTTACAATGTTTTGTTCTTAGGCTGCTTCTTCCTTCTGCTGATGGTCTATAATTTCTATGTCAGATCATTTCTGCTGATCTTTGTTTCCTTCACCACCTCCACAGACTGCTGACTGCTGACTATAGGTCTGTACTATCCTATCTACTGTTTCTGTCCTCTAAGCCAATCCAGGCTTATTTATAAAGCACATTAAAACAACGAATATAAATAATAAATAGAAAAATATATTGAAAGTTAATTAGCATAAAATAACCAAAATGACAAATAAAAACTTACAATGTGGCGAATGAAGAGCTGGGTATTAAGGAGAGACTTAAAAATTCACCAGCCGGAGGCGCCGTGGGTGTCAGGTGCATTGTTTAATTCATTTCAATTTTATTTATTTCAAGTCTCCGTGGAACAGAGTCAGAGATGAATAATAACTCATGATTAAATGCACCCAGTGCATCATGGGAATCCCCGGCAGCCTACGTCTATTGCAGCATAACTAAGGGAGGATTCAGGGTCACCTGGTCCAGCCCTAACTATATGCTTTAGCAAAAAGGAAAGTTTGAAGCCTAATCTTGAAAGTAGAGATAGTGTCTGTCTCCTGAATCCAAACTGGAAGCTGGTTCCACAGAAGAGGGGCCTGAAAACTGAAGGCTCTGCCTCCCATTCTACTTTTAAATACTCTAGGAACAACAAGTAGGCCTGCAGAGCGAGAGCGAAGTGCTCTAATAGGGTGATATGGTACTACAAGGTCATTAAGATAAGATGGGGCCTGATTATTTAAGACCTTGTATGTGAGCAGCAGGATTTTGAATTCTACTCTGGATTTATTCAATTCTGTCAGTGTGCCCCAGGGTGGCTGTGGTTACCATGTAACTGCCATCACCAGTGTGTGAATGTGTGTGTCAATGGGTGCATGGATGGGTAAAGCGCTATACAAATGAAGGGAAGCCAAAACAGGACAAATCTGCTCTCTCTTTCTAGTCCCTGTCAGGACTAGATGTGTCAATAAATAAATGTGTCAATAATTAATTAATTACATGTGTCGTAAATATTTATGTAATTAATTATTTCCGATTTTAATAAATTATTGCCACATTTAATTAATTATTTAATGGTGTATTTAATTAATTTATTATGGCAGTCCTGGCATTCCACAGTTTCTAGGACATCCTGATAATAATGAATTACAGTCGTCCAGCCTGGAAGTAATAAATGCATGAACTAGTTTTTCAGCGTCACTCTGAGGCAGGATATTTCTAACTTTAGAGATGTTGCACAAATGGAAGAAAGCCACAGAGGACTCCGCAGTCTAATGAATCACAGAAACATGATCAGAGACAACACTCAGTACAGATGTGAACACAGAAACATCTGTCAGAGTCTCTGCCTTTTAAACTCTGAGATTTAAAGCTTTCATGGAGACAAGCTTTGGCTCTCCTCTCTGTTATTTCAGGTAAACTGTGGCTGATCTGCTGCTGACTTCAAAGAAACTCTCAATGTGACTGAGATCAAGTCTAGAGCGGCCACAAACGATTATTTTGATAGTTGACTAATCGTGGCAGCCCTGGTCAGGTCTTACCTGCTGAGTTTCCTGTCTTGATCAGCAGCTCTCTGACTTGTTCCTGTCTTCCATCTTTGTTGTTGAACAGGTGAATTCTCCATGAAAACCTTTCGACAACACCTGGAAGCAAACTTTTTTTATCCTTTAAAATATAATCGTCGACTGACATCTTCAGTTCATCTCCACCCGTGAAGAGCAGGTAACATTTCTCCAGCCTGTGAGCCCCGATCACTCTGCTCGCTGCATCCACAGCCCTGTAGTTCTCGTCAGTGAACCGACCCACTCTGATCACCAGCAGGAACAGAACAGGGCTGGAGTCTTGCAGGACACGCTGACAGAAGGTCTGGACCTGCCGCTCTGAACCTAATATCTCTGGAGTGTCGATCACTGAGATCTGCTTCCCAAACACAGTTCCTGATTCCACAGAAGTGAGTCTGGTCACAGGTCTGAAGGATAGTTTGGACTCAAACACTGCTCGTCCTAGGATGGTGTTTCCTGAAGAACTTTTACCAGCTCCAGCTTTTCCCAGGAGGACGATGGAGAGATGATCCTCCATCAGAGACCTGCAGGAGATGGTAAATGGCAAATGGACTGATTCTTATATAGCACTTTTCTACTCTCCTGGAGTACTCAAAGCCCTTTATTCACCCAATCACACACATTGACACAAGCACTGTTTTCACGGCTTGTCAGTGCTTTCTAACAAACATTGTGGTGATTGTGGTGGTGCTATCACAGTACTTTAAGGCTGTGGCTTCAGAGTACATCACCATAATGCTGTCATATTACTTTGTAGAAGTCTACCTGTTATGCTATACCACAGAGTACAGATAATAATTAAAGAGGTTTTAATAAAAGTACAAACATACAATAGTACAATACTCAAACCAGCTCAGACATCACAGCAGCTTAACAAGGTCAGAGGCACATGTTTAGGAAGCTGGACATCCTGATGAGGAACAGGGTAGATGCTAGAA